CTTCTATATTCAGATCTAGTAGTTGTGACATCAGTAAGTACGCAATATCAGGTGATGAGTGCCAGAGGAAAATATCCCGTTGGCTACAACCCAACAGTACTAATTTATTAATAAATTCCTGACATTGACGGGAGGATGGTTTTTTGAGCAAAAAACTATAATTGTCCCATTTTAACTCTCCAGTCTCTTCTCCTAGTCACAACAAATACAAGTGATAAATACAATATCAGTGATTTGTGAATAGATGTGCATGTATGCCTGTACATGCCAGTGAAATTAAGTTATTATAATTATAGTCAGTTTTACCAAGAGTGGATAATTGGTTTTACACTAAAGCCTTGTATTATTAATTATTATGTCTCTGGGTATCATCATGTAATAATTAACTCACCTCCACCAGTTAATAGTATTTCTTTTATTTGAGTGTGTCCTCCTTCATTAGCTATCTCTACTGCACTCTTTCCTCTCTCATCTTTACTGTTAGGATCAGCTCCTAACTGCAGTAGCATTGATACTTCAAAACTATCACCAGCTTTAACTGATTCTTGAAGTGAAGTGTTGAAATTGTCATCATCTTCTCTTCTGATAGGAATTGTATTCTTGTCAATAGCAACTTCCAATATTCCTAATCTACTCATTGAGTTTTTTTTGTTATTGATATCATCAATAAGAGACTGTGATACTGAGGTTGGTAATAACAGTGTAATAATGACTGATCCTTTATCAATCTCCACTATAGTGAAAATATCTGTTACAACATGGCCAAAGTAGTATTGAAGAACTCTTTTAAAATTTGTCAAAGTCATTTCTTCCCATCTGTCATTCAGTTTAATAACGACTGGTTTTGTTTGGTTGCTAGTGGTTGGTGAGGCTGCTGGTGGTAATGATGACAATTTCTCTTTGATTGTTGATCGTATGTGCTTCAATTGTGACAATTCTGAGAATTTATCAACACTATCAATGTATTGAGTTAGTTCAGTTTGTGCATTTGAAAGGTAAGTGTCTGTCAAGTGTTTAAGTACACCACAACTGAAGAAATCATAATGAGGCTGAAGAGAATCAAATAATTCATCAACATCACCATATTTCAAACTGGATACTGGGATTTTTAAATAAGCAGCTGCATTTCTAGCTATAGCTATGAGCTCTGCTTCTCCATTTTGTACTCTTTTTACAATTTCTCCTCTCAGTTTGGAATCAAGAGATGAAAAACGAGAATGAAGACTTCCAATATTGGTAGCAACTTCACTCTTTGAACTGAGCTCAATAACAGTAGTAGGAGTAGATGATTGTGATCCAGTGATTGTTGGTTGTTGCTGCTCTAGATTAGGATCAATATGACCACCTTTTGTTTCTATTATAAATTAAAAAATAGAATATACATAACTTTCAACAATAGTAGATATATTGCTTTTAAACATACTTAATTTTCCCATTAGTTTAGATGCCATGTTCTTTAGTCCTACTTTCTGTAGTGCAGTAATGAGAGAAGAGAACACACTGTTAGGATTAGAATGAGTTTGTATGATAGTCAATAATGAATTGATGAGTTGAGTAGCTCTTTCATTTGGAGTATGATTAAGGTGAGCAACAGCATTGTATACATCATGAGGTATGATACCATGAGAAAAGAGATGATTACTTAACGATAAAATAACTGGAGGATTTCCTGTTAAGAGGTCAACAAGATCAGCTAACATCTCTTTCATTGTAATGTATTGTAGTGAACCTGGCTCTGGTGTACTTTGCTGCTGTACTCCAGTAGATGTGCCCTTTTGTTCTACTGAAGATGTACACTCCTCCTGGCCCTTTGTTGATGTGAAGGTTTCCTGTTGAACTTGTTCCTGCTCTGAAGCATCAGGTGAAGATTCCTGTTGCTCCTCATCTAAAGATGCTCCTATTATTTCATGGCTTTGCTGCTGAGGCTCATCCTGTTGATCTTGATTATGTTCTGAGGAAGATTGCTTTTGCTTTTCTTCCTCTAATGATGTTGCTCTTGATAGTGGAGGGACTATAGCAAAAGAAATGAAATTAAAACTTTCATTTTACTGTACAGCTATTACCTTTTAATCCTTTAGCAATCATTGCAATGCATATAGAGACCAGCAAAGAAATGACAATAATCATAAGTAGCCATATGAAGGAGCATTCCAGCATAAATAACTCAATAAAATATTCAAAAATTCCCTCAACTCTAGTGACAATGGAAGTGATTGACATGATGCTGCTACAGGAAGTGAGTGAAGAAGTTGTACAAGTGAGAGCAGCAGGTGCAATTGGTGTAGTATAATTTACTATCAGTACATAGACCACATTCCACAACCTCCAACCATTAATCTATACATCAAAGTATTAGCCTGTAATGAGATTCATCACCTAATAATAATAATAGATACAACCTATTAATAGATTGTTTCCATATAAGGTGTTGAACACAAAGCCACTATTGTAGCTAACAGAACTTTCCACTAGTAACAAAGACATTGTTTGGTTAATTTAAATTGTGAATTTTCAAAATAATAACCTTTTGCAGCATAATTCAATCATTACAATACCATTTGTTTGTATGTACTATTGGTTGCATTATAATCAAATTAACTTGAATAATTATAACAAATATTATCAGTAAATGTTTGAGTAAAATGAGCAGGTGGCATTATACTATATAGTGGCGTCACTTAACTGCACCTGCTACCTGTAGTGTCTCCAAAGGACACAAAAGACACAATCAAATGGACACTACAGACCATAATGTGTATTGATATTGATATGTACTGTACATAATGGGTGCATTAGATGTACTGGTAACTACTGGTTATCTGGAGATGTAATGTACATTCATAGATACTACATTAGTGTACTGTGGACACATCACAGAGCTTGTTTATACTTGTGAATGTGCAAAGGATAATTACTAATCACTAATCAGGACACGTGGGAGTAAAAGGAGAGGCGTGGTACCCCATCAGTTGTATTGTGGCTTAAAATCACTCACTGGATATTTAGTCCAATTACTCTTTATTACTGGCCCTAAGGAGCGAGCAGCGAGCCAAAGACAACAAGTTGTATTTCTACAGTTACAGTAGCTCTAGTACTCGTTCCTCATCTCTTGTTATCAATCAATGGCGGACGGTTTAGAAGGACTAGATGAAGCTGCTCTCAATGCTAAAGTAAGAAAATACAGAACTATTTTTTGTTATTATTATTATAAAATATATTTCTATTATTATTAAATAAACAATGATACTGAATCATGCCTATATACTTTACCTTACCTACCTGTACATGTACCTCTAGTTGAAGGCAGCAGAGTCTTATGAAGACAGGGCTGCCATTAGGAAGGCACTGAGGGACTTGAAGAAGAGTAAAGGTATTGAAGTTGGTGGAGGCAGGAACAGAGGAACCTCACAATATAACAGGTATCCATTAACAACATAGAGTGAAGAGAGAGAGAATATTTGGAGAGGTATGTACGTGTACATGTACATGTATTAATAATGTACATGTACACATATATTGTGCATTAGTAAATGTACATGTACATGCACTTATAGGTAACTGTATCCTATTTCACTTTGTCATTAAGGATTTGATGTACACACACACACATGCATGTACATATATGTACATTGTGCATGTATCTTCTTTCCAACTGTAATGTTAATAATAGCATTACTCCTGGTTGTTGTTCATTAATTATTAATAAATATTTATGGATTATCTACTTTTGGAATGTTTTCTTTGTTGCATGTGTGTGCTTTATGTGTTTATTTATTTATTTATTTATTTTATTAGGTTTGCTGGTCGCACATCCACTGATGCCAAAGCTACAGTAAAGCAATCCTTTGTTCCTTCAACTTCATCAAAGACTCCAAACCCACCATCAACTGGCTCATCCTCTCCCAGTCAGAGCGTATCTAGCCCCACCCCTCCTCCTACTAGTGCCACACCCCCTGCCGAGAGAGAGAGGGAGAGAGAAGAGAGGGAGAAAAGGGAGAGAGAGGAGAAGGAGAA